CGAGATGATGTGAAATGATATAAACGCGAGTTTGAGTGTTGAAATTAGTTTAAAAACCTGATTATCTTGTCGCACGTAAGGTGTTTACTAGCGCAAGTGTACTTGAGGTCTGTAACCAATGAGGCGAGGAGATATCCTCGCTTGTTTTCCTCCCTTTCAGCATACCCCCAAGGAGACAACGTTCTGGACACGGGGTTGAAGTGTGAGGATCACAAATACTCAATCACCGTACGCAGTTTTGGAAGCAAATCCCATCCGCCGACAACACAACGAACTGGGCACTCGATTGGCAAGAGCCATATTCGTCCTGTGCAACTGAACTGAACTGAACTGAATTTGAACTGGAAAAGCCGCTGGATTCAAAGGTTGCGCTACCGCATTTCTTCGCCATGCATCGTTTCATTTGGCGACCAAACACTGCTTTTAGACGTCCACGAGCTGCTCTCAACTATCGGTTTCCCTGCATATTCTCATCGTCTTCAGTGGTTCTGAAAGCTGATAAAATTAGTAATGATTTTGCCGAAAAGTCACGCGGGTTCGTATCAGAAATTGATCGGCTTGGCGTGCGGCGCTACTTGGATATTCATAAGTCCTCATCGTTGCTGTTGAGCGCTAAAGAGCGTGCTGAAAGTTTTGATGCCCTGTGGTCGAAAATCATAAAAGGTATTCTCTGAGTCTGTACTTTCGCTTCATTCAACAGAACCTCTCGTACAGATTGACGTTGTAAATAAATACCTTTATTGTGTGATGGACTGTGGCATGAGTTTCGATGCCCAGAAAATACTAGAGGATCTGAAAAAGCTGGGCGTGAAGCCCAATATCGTAAGCAACAATTTTTCATAATAATTTCTCCTAGCGAACTTACGGAGCGTTTATTCGACAAAGCTGTTCCCGCGGTAATATGGAAGAAACCAGGTAACGTAATTGCTGACGGAAATAATCGTGCTTTAGCTATTATCTCCAACTACTTCAAGATGCCCACATGGTTCCTGACTTAAATATATTCTCAAAAATCTTATACGGCTACCTCAAGGCAGGGTGAGCGATTCATAATTTGGTTTGTTGTCTGCTAAGTGCCGAAGAAGTCCTTCGATTTCTTACTCCGAGTGCATTTTGTGCTTTTTGTAATTGCAGTAACGCACTTATTTGTTTTTCATTAAAGGTCTCCAGAGGAAGTCGCGTCTACCCAGGAGATTATGAAGCAGCTAGGATCGTGGCCTTCGAGGTTGGGCTATGAGGGAATCCTAACGGCCCATGCTGAGCTGGGGGATCGTGTGTCACTGATACAAACTCTAAATGAGGCGTGTGATACCCTGACTCACTGGTCTAACGTCACCGACAAGGTTAGACAGAATCTGCCATTCTCCAATGTGTTCCTGGTGCAACTGTATACCAAGCTCCACTGTGCGGAGGCGGTTCCGGGTGAGCCATGTATGGAGGTAAGTACAATAAAGATGTCAAATTGAGATGCTCTTGCCTAGTTCGATTTTCGTGAACAGCCACTGCTTGTTGAACCATTCAAGACCCAATGAACAGTTGGGAGTTTTGCGTGAATTCTTCCGGAAGCCTAAAATCAGTTTACGTTTTCACCGCTACGAGTTGCACACTAGTTCAAATCAAGAATAAACTTCGTGACTTGTTTGTAGTAACAAAAAGAAGAAAGGCAATTAGTCGCTAAAGCGAAAATTTTTAAGTCGTCCGATAGTAGTTACCAAGTGCTGCTGTAAGTGGAAATATCAAATGAGGTGTTTGCGCTGCTCATGTAGGTTCTGCCGCTGTTCTCTTTTTCATTGCCTTTCTTATTAAACACTTTTGTGATGTACAGTGGGAGGGGTGAACTTTCTGATCACGAGGGCTTGATGTTCAGTGGGGAACCAGCAAGAGCCCCGGGGCTTGGAGTGATGAATCATGTATTCAACCGAGTGGCTTAAGTGACATTGACGGTTTCACCGACAGACCGCCCAAATTAACAAAAACTACGTCATATGGTTCAGCCGAAGGATGCAACGGAAGCAAGGACGTCATTACACCAAGGCGTTTTGATCATTTTGTCAGCATAAAGAGTGAACGCGATCTGGTTTACTTTTGTTCAATAACCTCCGGTTTGTCTCTGTTGTTGGTTCATTGATTCTCGATACATCTGCATTTTCGTTATGAATCTCTTATCAATAGGAGTGTGATCTGTATTACTGCATCTATTTTTTCACCACTGAGATTTACCAACTCATACATCAATCTGTAATATATCTGTTGCGTTGTAATTCCATTGTTTCTTTGTTTCAGCTTTTATCTCGACTCCCGCTGACATTAGAACCGATCAGCCAATCGCGTGCAAGAGACGGGATCAAGCGTCTTCTGGTTTTTGGTCGTGCAGAGGCCGCGTCCGAATTATTCAAACGCATAGATCCCGAATCGGCCGATGATGCATTTTTGACTTCTTTGGCTCGATATGCAACCGTTGGGGGTTTAGTACGTGATTTGTTTTTTCTTGTTAACCATTCTCATCACGAGATGTTACTTACTAGAGATGAACTACAAGAACTGTACAGTGCATCGTAAGAAGATAATAAGAATAACCTGATGTACTTTTTACAACACATTTGTGTGATCTTCCTATTGTTGATTTATCTAAATGAGCAGCCTAAACAGAGCAACCAAAACCGCCGCACAAGTGCGCTTGGTTAATGGTTGTAAAAACTGAAATGAAGTTCTTGCAGTATCTGGCAAGTTTTTTTAAATCTGTCTGAATGTTGCTATTCGAAAAAGTAAAAATAGGCGTAAGAAATTTTGAATTATTCTGCCCATCTTTTACTTCTCCGCGTTCTCCTTGTACATACTGAGCAAGGTTGGAAGAAATGACGCGACGGACAAACCATGAATCGGCATTGGGACTAGAACAAGTTAGCTTCAGTTTATGCAACTCGCCTTCCAAATAGGGGCTCAAGAGTTGGAGATTATAGTGGGTTTGGGATGTCGAGAGATGTAGACCAGAATAATGCGTGCCAATGCGGTACAGATTCCCCTTTGAACTTCCTTGCACCATAATCTGGCCCAAACATGAAGCAAAGACAGACTCGGAAAGTGTATGGTGAAAACATTTCTTGTTCTCTGTAATCTCATCACCCTCATTTACACTGAACCCGTCTTTCTATTCTGGTCGTCGCATTAGCACTATGCTTGTTCTCACACCGGTATTGAAGCACGAGCATGTGAAAGAATTGAGTAGGTTGTCTTTGAGTGTTATCGTAGTACTGAGTTAGCGTCTATCGACAGTGTTCCTCAGGTTTGATCAGGTAATTAGCCAAGCGTTCTTCCGTTTCCATTTTGTCCCGCCATACTATAAATTCACCCTAATCAGTCCACAATCTTTAAGCAATTTCGTTGTTCTGGCAGCTGTCTCAACTCATTTGTAGACCACTTAGGTCAATTTACGAAGGCGTTGCTCTGTAGTTCAATTCACCAAAGAACGATGTACACTTCTCCCATACAATCCTTGCCCGTTAACCGCGATCGAGTTCATAGTGTCGCATTTTTAAAATTTTGGGGTCAACAATGCTTCCTACGTCCTACTTTTGTACGTTCCACTGATCAAACTCATTGTTTTACAAAATAGACTTGTTTGTCTTTTGTCCGTTTATTACCACTGGGTAATGTGATACTCCAAGGCAATGCAATATTCTTCAAAATGGTTTTCTAAATCTAATTTTTTTCAGGACTCAGAGGCCATCAGTCGACTTTGGCGCCTGGCTGATGCATCAGGCGCGCGCTTAAACATGCTCAGGCGCATCAATTCAAACGGTATGTCTTTTAAATGATAAAATGGTGCACGACAGTACGTTTACGTTTAGTCGTTCGAAGCTTAATTAACTCTTTTTAATCCCAAATGGTGTTTCAACTTTTAATTTTAAGCAGTTCTTTCCTGTGCTAAGATAATTCGGTTTTAGTTATTCGTTTATGAAGAATCTTGGTAATGTGATGCAAAATAGTATTCCCAGCGCCACATTTTCGCCCTCTTCATCATCCTCTTACAAGGAACTACGGTGAAGTGAACCTCTCTGATCACATCCAAACTCGCAACGTATGCGAAGTCAGTGGTGATATGTAAAGTGAATTCAGATTGGACCTATTTCATGGAAAGCAAACCCCTATGGTTGACTGACAAAGTACACAATATAACGGTGTTTACGTACCTTTTCAAGCATTCTGGCCTGATAAGAAATGACAACAAAAATGCCACTGCCGTCAGTGCGCTGCCATATCGTTGAATGTCTCCAACCAACCAGTTGCAGAGTTTTTCGGACCCCAACGTGGAAGGCGCGAGACACCTACCCTACCTAATCGCTCTGTGCATTTTTTCATGCCTCGTCTCCACGTCATTTTTTGATATCCACGGGGATTCCTCCAGCGCGGCGCGGCTACAGCGAATAAAATGTGGTGCGATAGACAACAGCTGGGCGTACGGAATATGTGGCCTAACCAGCGAAGCCTATTAATTTAATTTGCTGAACTAGCAAGTTTATCCCTCACAAACTCCCAAACACGACGGTTTACCTCCAGATTACTGACCCGTTTGCTCCATCCCACGTGAGCTAAATCACGTGAACACCGATAGTCAAACCTAGTTAATATCTTTTACTCGTAAACTCGAGGTCTCCAAATCATAAAACAAACCGTAACGAACGGTAGCACAAAATGTACGAACTTCCAATTTCAGTGAAACGTGGCGTCTATGCCAAAGGTGTTTCAGTCCTGCATATGCTGCTCGTGCTTTGGAACCGCGGGCGGTTATCTACTTTGATGCGCTAATGTCACTGTTCACACAATTACCTAAGTAGCAAAAAGCAATCTGCAGTATCTAATTCGTGGCCATTTAGTTTCAAAGCAGGACTAGGTGACACCCAATTGTGCAGCATCACTTTACATTTGGGAAGCACGAAGTACGTGCCAGATAGAGCAACGGAAGCCGCCATTCTTTCTCATGCGCTTTTCATGTCCACTATATATTTGAACAAACAATCTCATCAGCGTATTCTAAGTGGCACAGCTTTTCTCTTGCTGTCCATTTGACACCCACATTTTGCACACCACTAAGTGCGTTCTCTAAAATTTCGTCATTGACAAAATTGAACAGGAATGGCGAAGTAGTTCACCCTTGAGGACCGCCGCTTCCGGTGACGAACGGCCTACTTAGTTCGTTATAAACCTTAATGCACAGAAAAAAGCACTGCTGTTTGGAGTCCATTTGTTTAACCGCGATGCGAGGGTGGTGTTTTTGCTCGTTACGGTAGATCGTTAGGATATCCAAACTCTTTCGGCCATGGACCACATTTCAGCATTCCACTTGTCTTTTGGTTACATTTGCGGCCACTGGTGCTGCACAACTGCATGCACACTCGCTTGAGAGACCATATATGCACAAAAGTAACTATCGCTTGTGTGTTTTCCCCTCTGATCTCTTCTGCAGAATTCCGTCGCCACAATACAAAGGTGTCCGATATGTTCGTTCGACTACAGGAGTCATTCTCCAAAAAGGATGTGGAAGGTTTGTTTCTGTGTCGGTTTTCCCCACCTTAGTTGAAGTATAAAGAATCAGGGGGTAATTACAGCACGTCTGTTTCTTCGCTCTGTCCACAGGGATTTTCCAAGCTATTGAATCTAAGAGGACTGAAGCATCAGCCACAATATACAATCACGCGATTCCTCAGCTACTGGCTCTTGGTTTGAAGCCAACGGAAATCCTTGAACGGATAAAAGTATGTTCTACTCGTCGCTGTTCTCAGTTACTGTGAAAATTAATATCGTAAACATCTAGAACTTATCTTCCTTATCCTAGTTCCATGTCCACTACCAATGGTTGCTCACTTTGCGGCCGTGAGCTTGACAGTGAAATTGCATTTATTCTCCGTAATTCTAAAAAGATGATGATATAATTGGTGCAATAAAGAATCAGGATCCAAACATTCTTGACTCCAGAAAATTTAAAACCGGTCTAATCCCATTACGAACATCATATGCGAATGAGTCTTAGTACATGCAGTGATATTTTCTCTGGTGGTAGATATAATCATGTGTGATGTTTTGTGAAGACAATTAGGATCTTAAAACCTGACCTTCCGGTGCTGCTGATGCTGCTTGCGGTTAGTCACGGCTTATTCAACGATATATTTCTTTGGTCACGTTTTCTGCAGAACTAGGAAGGCGCTTGTTAATAGGCAGTTCTGCTTGACCTATGGGAACCGTAGTCAATTTCAAATAAAGTTTTTCTAAAAGAGAAATCTCATGTGATTCAACTACTGGGTTTTTATTAACATTTCACAATCAATGTGAATTGTAGTACCAGGATAAACCCCATGGTCCAAATACATGATTCAGCTAGGGTGAATGCAGAGTAGAAGAAAACCACGTTAGATCTAGCTTCCGATTCTTGTTTTAAAAAAGTGAAAAAAGTGAAACTAACAGAGGGATGGTTTTGTTTGATGAGGTTATGGCCAAAGCATCGGAAGATTGGTGTTCGCCGTGCAGAACCTAGGAACACTTGACAAGACTGTCCGGAGTGTCGGATACGCATTAGATGGAACAAGTTCGGATGAATAGAACCTGAAGTAATAGGTCCAAAGGACTACAAAAACATCCGGCGATCAGCTAATACCCACCACTTGGATGTTGAAGAATACTCACCGTTAAGGCGAATCACACGTTTAATATTGACGGATAGGAGGGGACAGGACGAAGGAACACCCCACACATGGTTGTGATATTCAAGCTCAGAACAAGTTTGTTTTATACCAAGGAAGGTGTCCCGAAACAAGTGATCCATCTAGTTCGCAGCTTCAGAAGCAAGCTAGGAAATGTCCAGAGACCATGTACGAGGTGCAAGGGGAAAGACCCACAAGAAAGCAGGAACCGAGAGCGAGTAAATCGATGTGGAGATTGAAGATATCGGAGAGAAGAAAAGCCTCAGCCTCGTTGAGAGCGGGTGTTTTGGGTTGTTGCTGGTTATCCCTCTCTTGCACCTAGATGACTAAACGCAGTGTTCGCTTCCGTCATGTGGCGGTTTTTTCACCAAAGTGAGAGGATGAAAAGCTAGCATGCAGTGCTATAATCAGGTTGGTCAATCACTTGTTATTTCACCATATGGGTAGCTCAAAAGCCTTTATTTCGAACCGATCAAGAAGTGGGGTGAGAACCACATGCATACCTTCTTGGTCCTCGTTTGTACTACTGGCTTGATTGAGGATCGGGTATCTTGGACGTTTTACCCCGTCCAAAGGGCATGTGATCTGGTGCACTATATACCGGGCCCCAATAAATTTGTGTTCACACATCACTAGTTCAAGCTCCGGTTGTCAAGCGAATTCACCTGTTTTAGCGTGGGAAACTGGGCGATACACCACCCACGAGTAAATCAAGACCTTTTTTCTGTTATACAAATTGTACCGTGATTTGTTTTGCAAAAGCCCTACGGCGATCACTCAGTGTTCTTTGTCCTATAGGACATTTTGTATGCAGATCAAGTCGGTAGTTTTTATTGATTTGTGCTCTGTAAGGGCAATCTGTGATTCATTTCTGATTTCGCTGTACGGTTGCAGTTCTGGGTTCAGTCAGGTAGTTCTGCCAAATTTGGTGAATCGTCCAATATATGAGACATAATATCTTTGGTTTAAAAAGGTATGATATTGAACACGTTTTTTGTAACATGTAATTAACGTATCTAGCTTGCACTTCTCTGTTGAATTTAGTTAAATGCACTGCATTCCTTATCTTTTACTCTGTTACCTGTTTTCCATTTTATCTAGCCGGAATCTGTCCGTCCCGCGGCCGCTTTCGGTTGCCTTTTGGGAACCCTTGCACCACTCCCGAAAGAAGGGGATAAAGTGCCCGTGGTGGATCTCAAAGCTGCAGACGCTTTGCTTCAATCATTAAAAAATCAAAATTTACTTCCTTATACCGACTTTGTATCTATATCACCGTTTGTTTGTCGAAGATTGGTAAGTAAATAGCATTCAGTTGCCAAAATATATACAACAGAATTCGGTCCTCCATCCCTAATCCCATTCCTGTCGGATCGTCTTCCTTCCTGCTTGTGTCCGACGCAAATGAGTATTGCGTTGTTCAAATTAATATCTCGAATCACCAATATAATCGTAAGGTAGTTTGCATTCTCAGATTTATCAGGTCTTTGCAATAGCACGGGATTTAGTCTCGATTGAACCAACTGCTTTCAATTCAACAAGAACAACTAGTGTATTTACCAGCTGCGGTCCAGTGATCTAACAATAACTGTCCTTAACCCTTACTCATCAACCATTTCGTTATTTTGTAAACATCTCTTCATTCCTGATGGACATCACATTGTGCCCTTTTCATACATTATTATTCCCACCAGGTCAATAGTTTAAACCACTTGTTTCCTTCAGTACGTAGCACATGGTTTATCTCGTCTCTAGTATATCGTTTCACCATAGTCAATGCTCGTTTCACCTTTATTTCGTTTAATCAATTCTCGATGTTATGGATCGAATAATTTTTATTTTACTCGTTTCTTTATCAAACTAGCTTCAGTCATCCAGTGAGAATTCAACTGAATCCCAAGCAGCTGCGGAAACATTGGCGAGTAAATTGACCGTGCTATCTGGTGCTCTCAGTCATATGCAAACAAAGGCAGTAGTCACGCACATGTTCGAGACGGCACTACGGTCCACTCATACAATGTCCAATTCTTCACATCTGTCCGAGAGTGACAAAAATGCATTAAATACGCTTGTCGATGCTTGCATAATTAAGGTAATTAGTGATTTTTCTCCTTTGTACATTTGGCTTGCATAGAGGTGCAGTTATCGCTGATCTAGAAGCTAGAGAGTCTTTCGACTGCCAGTTTTGAGGTTAACGCCATCCCTCGAATTCAGGTTATTCCTTGTTCACCTTGTTGTTATACCCATTCGGTTTGCCCAAGTGTAAAACGATGAGGCAACCGTTGAACCGGCATCCTAAGCGCATGTCCTAACCATCGAATTCTTTGCGTCAGGATGATGGCATTCAGAGAACGACTAAGATTGTCTGAAGCGAAGATATTTCATCGAACCTTATCGTTGCTGATTCGCTGTTGCCAATGTATTCTGGTGGTGCAACGAAAGCAATGGCGATTGAGGACAGTTCTTGAAGCCGTAGAGTGGAACTGCGCGTATGTGGAAGTTGTAGACTCGGCTTGTCGAGGAAAAACAGGTCGATACCATAAATGACGACAGGGCAAAATCCACCCCGGGCCTTGGAGTTATGCGTTCATATTTCCTCTCTGAATTTTCAGTCGGTTTGCAGTTCTTCCATCGATGGCTGAGGTTAATCACAACGTTTTGGGTAACCGCGATCGCCCACTTGAGAAAGTGATTGACCTCCATAGGTTACTTTGGTTGGGGCGTGTTGCGCATGTCACCGAATAGGCTGTCACGGCGTTCGTTGGTTGCCAAGACAGGCGGAGAAAAGGCCAGGGTGGTCAAAATAAGACCTGTCACTAGTGTATAAAACCCTAACCATGTAACTTGTCCCTATAGATCGCGTTAGGCTCCTTGGATGGCTACCTCGGAATCACTGTAATCGATGTTCAGGGATTGGGTGTGATATGGTTGAGTGCCAGAAACAGTGGCGGTTTTGCGTCTTCTCTGTCGCTGCAACTTTTCACTTTATGAATTATCTGTTTCCACCTTGCCAGTAATTTGAACATTCTAATTTCCCTTTTGCTCCCTCATCCAAAGGGGCAGTCATTTTCTTATTATACGTAAATGAATACAATAAAAGGGGTGAACCCCATGATCTAAGAATATACTGTTGGTGGGAAAGTAAGGGTTCAATACCACGCCTGTCGGGTCCTTATGTGGTTCGCCACTCCAAGTTCCGGGGCTTAGGTTGGCGGTTTCCACCACCGAACAGCAGCAGTTCCTCGTGGCTATGGGGTTCACCCCGCATGCTGTTTATCACACTTGGGTGTTTCATTAAAAAAGCCAGAACCAGCTTGTTGATCCTGCGTTTAAAAGCAAGGATGTTGTAAGTTGTAAGTAAAACTGAAAGGGGGAGACTTATTCTGTTTCTGCCTTTTGTTTGATCGCTTTTTGCTCTCCATAAACTTGACGATATATTTGTCTATTTGAGTAAAGCAGTTACCTTTGATCTACCATTATAGGATATCAAATTTCCTCCAAACAGTTGGATTTTCTACTCGTTGGAAAATACCGAAATCTCCAAAGTAAGTTTTTCGTTTTGCAGGTGGTCACTATAGGCGTTTCGTATTTATTAGGAAAATTAGACACCCTATGGATCATTCTATCTTTTAACTACTTCAGATCTTGCATGCTATACCGGGATATCAATTCATCGAATGCTAAACGAAAGGTNACGTTGGGAATTACTGGTTTTGACCGGACATCACGCACAGTCTTCAGTTCCTCCAATCAACGATACACATGAGACATTGAATTTAAGTTTGGCTTTCGTTAGATTTCATCAGTCGTGCAAATCTGCTGGCTCATCCAGACTTGAACTTCGGACCTCTGCAATGAAAACTTCATATGTTTCCACGGTGTCGCGCATACAACTGATTCACTATCTTTCTTCGAACAAACCTGAATAGTCCTGATCAGACTAAAGTGAGCTAGTTGGTGCCGTGGTGCTACACACCTCCGATTTCAGAACTCTAGGTTGATCATAAACATTCACCAGTCGTAGAGCCTACAAAAATGAAATTCTACAAGCAGTATGTTGACAACATACTTTTCAGGACCGACAAAGAGAACGATCTCAGCCACATCATCCAAACGTTTAACAAAGGTCACAAGTCCATATGTTTCACCCTGGAAGCAACGGAAAATAATAAATTCGCATTCCCTGATGTTTTACTGTACAGGACATTTGATGAATTACTCGGAAGAAGGGTATAGAGGAAAAGATGCGGACGGGACAGCATACCACTTCTCACTGTTTCGTACCGCTTAGATAAAACAAGAATCTAACTCATTACGTACATTGAAAATATGTTCTGAAGCCACATTCACAGGTGAATTTGATCACGTAAAAAAACTGTGGGTGGTGGTGTTGCAGTGGTTTAGCCGCTGTTATCGGAATTCTTTGGTTCTCATGGTCCGAGGTTCAAGCCTCAGCCGCCACTCAACCTGAGTGGCGGCCCTATCCTAGTAGGGCCGTATATGGTTCGCCATTCCAATTCCCGGGGCTCAGGTTATCGGTTTCCATCACTGGAAAGCAGTTATTTGTGGTTATGGGATTTGCCCCGTCTGTTATTCATCACGCTGAGGTGTGTAATAAAATACAATCCTCAGGGACAACGGATACACTGAAAGATTCATCGAAAGAAACCTAGAAGAAAAGCCAACATGCAAGCCTGTTCAAGAAGCTCAGAAGAAAACAGCGGGTTATTGAACTGCATCCAAGGGAGGTGACCTACCGTTTGTTCCAGCCAGTGAGTGGAGTCTTTAATGCAGCTAGTTTGTCATGCGTATTCACCGGGCCACCATTAGTGGGAGTTTCAGTTTCAGTTTGTACAATCATTAAACATGCACTTCCGTGCTCCGGTTTTGGTTGCTCTTTTTTGGCTGCCCATTCGGATGAAGAATAGGACAAGACATGAAAGTTGGAAGTAGAGTCGAACAGAAAATGGAGAATTTCAGCGGTCTAAGGTTTCAAAGAAATTGAGGAGATGCACGAACTGCACTGTTTATGATACTCAGCCATATCACTGTCTCTAACCATCGGTTACAATCATCCCGAGGTCTCCAGCCAGGGAGCCTAACCCAGTCCCCTGGTCAGGGTTTTCATACTCTCGTGCCGGGTCCTAGCTTGGCCACCCTCGACTTTCTTCCACCCACTACTTGCTTAGGCGAACATCGCTCGCCGTGGCAACCTATCTGGTGACATGCGTAACACATGCCCCAACCAACGTAATCTATGAAGGTCGTCCACGTTGTCCAGGGGGCGACCGTAGTTACTCCAAACTCTGCGCCTAACCTCAGCATTGCTCGTCCGGCTGCCCCGCCAGCACTAGTGGGAACATCCGATAAAAACAGTTTACCTTCGCTGATCTCATCTAGGGTTGTCTATTCCTTCAGTTCTGTTTATAACGCAACCTGTGTTGGTCGAACGGCGAATCATCCGTCCCATGGGATTAAAGGGCACTATCCACGCTGGCTGCAACAGCGGAAAAGGTGTCATGGGAATTGCTATTCTCGTTCACTCTGCAGACCCATATCACTAAATAAGGCTTGAATCATCCTTTAAAGTTATCTATCGAGTATCATCTCACCAATCCAATTCGTTGCATCTCCACATCCTAGCCGCTGCGGCAGCCATCGGTGTCCGTTTGTTCACACAGCCTGTATGAACAAAAAGGCCCAAGCCGTTTAGTGGTTATGACCGAAGACCGATCACACGTATGATGCAATGCAGTTCATTGTTACAGTAACCTAGTAGTATGAAACACGTCACAGCACTCACCTCACAAGACCCTCACAACCAATCAGTTTAACCTTTCGGCGGCTAAATGTCTATCCCCTTTTCATCTTTTTCACTTTTTTATTCCTTTTATTAAATATATAAAGATACAATTTTCAGGACGGGGGAAGCGGCCAATACGGGTTGTGCACATCGAAAGATAAATCAATGAAAGCAAATGTCCCCATTTCAACATGTGTTGTCATTTTATAATGACTGTATTCTGGTACATATATTGGTGTATATGGGTTGCCGTCGCTCAGAATTTCTCTCGTTTGGTTTATGAAAGATTGGAATGCTATCTGTATAATTTGGATTAAGGTAATATGTGAAATAGAGATTAGCGTCTCCAATCCAATAATACTGTTGGCAGTGAAGATCGAAGTACACGGAACCGATGGCATGTAAGCGTACGGCAAGTGATTGACCTCCATAGATTACGCTGGTTGGGACATGTGCTATGCACGTCACCAGATAGGTTGCCACAACGAACGATGTTTGCCAAGGCTGGTAGCGAATGAAAAAAAAACGAAGGGCGGTCAAGCTAAGATCTGGCATGATGGTATGAAAACCCTAACCAGGAGACTAGGTCACATAGGCCCCGTTAGGCTCCCTGGCTGGGGATCTCGGGATGATGGTCACCGATGGTTAGCTACACTGAGTGATATGGCTGAGTGTCGCAAACAGTGGCGCTCGTGCATCCACTCGTTATTTTCCTAACACCACTCTATATGTATTCCCCATCTTCTGCTTGAATTCGCTCCGACATTCCAATCTTCACTTTGCTCTTTTATCCAAATGGGCAACCAAAGACAGCAACCAAAACCGGCGCACGAAAGTGCGTGGTTAATGGTTGTAAAAACTGAAACTGAAAGCGTACGGCACTAACGGGCTTAAAGCAACATTTTCAGCCTTTTGCGTCGAACTGATTTATCACTCTTGGTTGGTTTCATCTAGTGTTTTGACCAACTAAACCCTCTGTTTCGCATGTTTCTCATACACAGGAAAAATACGAAAAATTGAAGTTACCAAATTTTCCATCTGATATTCTCCAGGACCGTCGATTGTGAGTTGCTCTTAATCTTACTTTTTCTTGATTTTTTTCTGCGTTTGCATCATGTTGAAAACCCATGCAAGTTTTTAGGGTTCTGTGGTTCGTTTCTCACTGCAATTGGTTAGCAACTGTTTCTCATCCCTCAACGTCTAAGTGCATTTAACAAATATCGTGTGCTACAGTTCCTCTCCATTCTTCCCCGTCGATTCATTTGTGAAAAATACGACGATTATTGGGAGCTGACCGGTAGTTCTAGTTTAACTGAGTTATTTTGACCACATCGTTCAAATTACAGTCCACAGCTGAAAACGGTTCCGTAATCCCTCATTCGCCGATCGGTTTGAACACTGTTTGTTCCTGTTCAATTTCCAGTCCTACATCCAACAACGGACAGTTGCTTTTTTCTGTTCAGCTCACTTATAACCGCTTCCACTTTATATATTCTTCTTAGTTATTCCGTATCATGTCCATTTTACTTGATATATTCCTTTTGCCGAAGTTGGAGTCTGCAAGTTCCCACCCAAATGTTACCTAAACATGCTCTATAGCCTCCCTAATACCGGATTCCGTTATGTTTACTGTCCTCTTCTGTAACAAAAATTTCAGATCTAATTGAGTTCGATTCGACAACCTTATTCCCGAAACCGAAGAATACAAAACTCCTGAAACAGGGACCGTTCATTGCGTTTCCGCTTCCCACGATAACTGCACCGCATTTCCCCTTCAGATTTGACGGTCACAATTTCGCTGCGGCTTATTTTTTGTTACAAATGGTTGAAGTTGTAACAGCTTGCGGTATCACTCCTATTGAGATCCGTTAAGTGAATCTCTAAGCCTCACCTCGTTTGCTTTTTCTTCCCTATCTGACAGACCGTTGGGTCGTCGTTTACGAACTGCTGTCGAAGCGAGAGATATTGACGGTAAGTTTCAGCACATTTAATGGTCACGGCACATCAATCAAATATACCGCGTTTATAATCGGCCATGTTTGTCCGTGTCAGTCCATGATCGTCTGTCTACTGGTGATACTCAGTCTGATGAATGTAGAAACTTGACTTATTGATAGTCGTCAGCGTGTTTGATATGACCACTTGTGTAGTGCGGTAGGGAAATCTATATTAGTTTTGGATCTCCGACATAGGCGATAGAATACTGCACTATTTTATAACGTTTCGTTTGAAGAAGCTAAGTCCAGTAGCTCTGAAGTGCATTTAATCTAATACGCCGACGTCACTCAGCACCTAGATACAATGCAATTCTCAACACAACAGCTGGAATTTTATTCTATTCTTCAGTCGGCATTGCGTGGATTTGAGTTTTCGACACATAAATAAGCAGGCAAGAAGAAAGTAAGCCAAAAGTTGGTAAACATACAGCTTTTAAGGCATTTGATCATACTTCCTAAACAAGCTTCGAAATTCTATGAGATCAAACTCTGAGTTTGCGGTTGTCAGACGCAACTCTGAACGCTAGCTCGGCAATTAAAATGGCGGCCTTTTGTGTTGAAAAGCTGGGAAGAAAATGATTAGTGATTCCTTTAGGTGGAGAGTTGTTTGATTCAAACATGTTGTTCTCCAAAGCTGTTTGATCCGAAATGCCTTTTCCCCTATCGGTGGACATAATGAAGAAATTGCGCGTTGACATACTGTGATGGTTTGTTCACTTCTATGATCCAACGAGCTACACAGGATGGCTTTCACCAAGCTAGGGGATCTTACAATACCGGAAAGATCAGAGGGTAGAGATCAAACAAAGTCCAATTTCTTGGTTTCGACTCGAGTTAGCGTCTCAGTCGGTAGATGGTAGAAGAGTAATCGATCCGAGCAGATGGGCCTCTTTCATATTACCGGCTGTCTTGCGGTCAGATTCCTGTTAGAACTTGAGGTTTTGGACGAGAACCCTAATCGTTCCCCTGCTTAGTGGCTGGGCACCTGGCAGTGCCCGTCCATCAAACTCTAATGTATACATCAACTATACATAATTCCGTATTGCATCAGTCGTCGAGCAGGCTATTATGGACTGCGCTGCCCATCGCGGGGTGGGTTGTGATAAGTGGGCTACTACTCGGATACCTTTGTTCAGATCTTTGTCTTCTATACACCCTATTCCTATGCCCGTTCTTCCGACCCCTAACATTCTCCCCGACAACGTGTACGTCACTCGCCAAAGTTCGTTGCCAAGTAGCTCGGTAAGCAGTTAACCACAAAATAGATTGCATATTCTGAAGCCTGGTCAGTCACTGGGAGCCTTCAACCTGAGGACTCTGATGTAGGTAGGTCAACAAGCGTGTCTGGCGCGTACAATGGACTCTTTGGGAATGGATGTCTGCTGCATGTCGGAGACTCAAAGTCAGGATCCTAGTACTATATGCCTCTTAAGTGCACCGGGGTTGTCTTTGAGGTCATTCCTCTGCACGTCAGGTGATGATGAAGCCCTTTCAGTAGGCCAGCGTGGTGTGGGCATTGTACTGAATAATACAGCCGAAGTCGCACTACTCGATTGGATCCCCGTCAACAGCCGCTTATGTGCGATGCGGCTCCAAAGGTCTATCAGCGTCCGGAAGGGAAGCAACACCAAACGGTATTTGTTCATCATTTCAGTGTATGCTCCGACCAACTGCAGTTCTGNGCAGAAGCCGTACTACTCCATTGGATCCCCGTCACCAGCCGCTTATGTGCGATGCGGCTCCAAGGTTCTATCAGCGTCCGAAAGTGATGCAACACCAAAAGATGTTTATTCGTCATTTCAGCGTATGCACCGATCAAATGCAGTTCTGACGCACAAAAGGACGAGTTTTATGATAAACTCACCGAACT